AGTACCCAAAGTCCTCTCATGCTGAGACTCTTCCAAACAATCTCCTTTATGACACAAAATAAACTAATAGGAGGCAGGTGGGCAGGTAAACAATTATAGCAAATCTTTACTGCTAGGACAAGTATGATATCAGAGCCAATTGAAACAGGGAGGAAAAACAAGCCAATGGGAGAGACTGCGAGAACCTAAGACTTTGGATGGTTCTCTTGGCCTCCCATAGTGATATGTTCCTGCCTAATTTGAGACAAAAAGGCTCTGGGTTCTACTCTATCCAGGCCAGTGTTTCTCAGACTCGGCAACAGTAACACGTGTGGACTTCAACTCCCAGAATATTTCAGCCAGCAGAACACCCCACAGCAGGCTGAAGAAATCTGGGAACTGAGGTCCACAGATCTTAAAGTTGCCAAGCTTGAGAAACTCTGGTCTAGGCGCTCAGTCACATCTTAGAATAATTACATAGAAATAACCAGACTGAAAAGGCACCAGCAACAGAGGAAGCTTGTTTTCTCCTGGCTAAGTGGGACATATTTAACATTTCAGGATTTGTTTATATTTCTGAAGATTAGTCAAGCAATAATGGTATTTTGGATGGGTCTGTGCCTAATCACTGTCATCCCAATCTTTTCTACCCCAATAATCCTTCCATTTTATTAATTCCCTTCAGCCACAGCGTGTCTCAACAGAATTTTTCTCATTACGTATACCTAGGCTACTTCTTGCTGACTTGTTTAATTATAGCCTTAAATAAACCTACTTGCTCCCATGAGGCAAATAAATTCTCCAGTGTCAGTGATGTGAAGTTGGTTAAAAAGATGAAAAGTTCCTCAATTTGATCTCAATCTTTGAAATTCATGTCCCCTTATTAATGTTAAACTTCAAAAGATAGATTACAAGTAGTCCTCAACTTACAACAGTTCAAAGTCACAGCAGCACTGAAAAAAGTGATTTATGACCATTTTTCACAGTTACAATCTTTGTAGCATCTCCACGATCACTTGATCAAAATTCAGATGCTTGGCAACTGGCAACTACTTATGAACACTGCTGCGCCCCAAGGTCATGTGATCCCCTTTTGCCATCTTTTGATAAGTAAAGTCAATGGGGAAGCCAGATTCACTTAACAACCGGGTTACTAGCTTATCAACTGCAGGGATTCACTTAACAACTGTGGCAAGAAAGGTCGTAAAATGTGGCAAAACTCACTTAACAACATAAATGTTGGGTTCAATTGTGGTTGTAAATCAAGGACTACCTGTACTTATTGAGGTGAGTATCAATCTAAAGTTCATATAATTCTGTATCTAAAATTAAGCATATGTATACAAGCAGAACACTCTACTTTTCAAAATAAATAATCAAATGTAGTATTATTCATTGACTTAGAACAACAAAAAGTAACTTATGGTAGTTCCCTGTAATAATTAAGTTTATAGTTCTGAAATGTTGCAGCTAATAGCTAGCTATGGCCAACCTCAAATCAGACACCATATAGTCAGAAGGTGATGCTGGATGTTATGTGGCTACATCTTATGTGGTTGCTCAAAGTATATAGAAAGAAATCAGTCATTGGGTCTCTGCACTTCAAAGTTGCTTTGGGTTAATCCAAATAATGAACTAGTTTAAGATACTGTTCTGGACACAGTTCATCCAATTCAAAGTTTTTAATTTGCCTATATACTATCAACCATGGAACACCATACTCCAGTGTTTCTCAGTGTTTGGCAAGTTCAAAATGCTTAGACTTAAACTTATAATTGCCAAGATTTAGAAACACTGCCATATCGTATTGCTTTTTACCCAAACCAGAGAAATCACTGAGTAATTGGGTCTCTCTAACACCAAACATCTTTGGGTTATCTCAAATCATGCACTCACAGGTCCAGGAGAATAAATATTGATGTGATGGGACTCATTAAAAAAAACACATCAAACAAAGTTGGGTATACATTGAGCCAGTTAGCTCTGGAAAATAACTATCTATGACAGATAAGATCTGTGCCCAAATCACACATTCTTTTATAACACCTGTTCATAATACAAGCTATCCTGCACTATTGCATACTTGCAACTCACCACAAGGAAAAATAGTTCCAGCTTTATGGTCCAGCACATTTTAAGCAGCACATCAATTCTTATGGGGAAGGATGAAATGGGTTCACACCAAGGATGATATGCTCCCAACACATATCACTGCCTAATAAAATATGATTATTCCTTCAAGAGCAGTTAGACATGGCTACAACATTGGCTTTGCCCTTGAATTAGTCAAGGTTCTTATAAATAAACAGAACTGAGCACTCTGAATAACCCCCCCCCCCAAATGAATAGATAATAATAGTGTATTACCACGGTTACTTCTCTAGGAAAATCTAAGAAATTTGATAGGGAAAACTTATGCTGAGAATTAGTACATAGTGAAGAATTTTCTCTTCTGAGAATTTCAATAGCCACTAAACAGTCAGCTTATTGGTAGCCCTTTAATGCTATTTTACTGCCAAAGTTGCTGTATCACCCAATTCATTATCTATATTTCTCAACCTGTTGTGTAACTTTTGATTTTCTTAAAAAATATGAGTAAATGTAAATACAAACTATATTAAAATATCAAGAGTTATATACGTAGGACATTATTCTAAAACTTGGAATTATAATGTCAGGAATTCTGAAGTGGGCTGAACAATTACTTGGGGGTAGTGAAACACTTTGCTTCCTTAATAGAAAGCTCACTGTATCCTATCACCCACTCAGACAGAAAGAAGAGTCCACCTCTCTTGATTTGAAGAATATCTCTTACAGTCGGAGCATTTTTCCTAACGTGCATCCAAAATCTGCTCCTTGAACTTAAGCCCACTGGATTCATGCTCTGACTTCGTGTGTAAAGTAATTTCCTCTGTGCCATAAGCATTTGTTGTCTGCAAGTCACTGTTTTTATAACATGGAGTATTCCGTCTGGGGCAGGAATATTAACAAGTCAAAAAGAAACGAAATACAAGGCATCAGCAGCGACAAGGAATCACAGCCGTTACCAGGCAACGCAGACAGCGATTGGCTGGATGGGCCAAAAGTATGGACTTCCAAATCCATCTCTCGTGTTCTTTGTCGCTTCTTCTCCTGAAATGATTCAAGATTTCAGATTTCTCATTTTCTGCATTTGATCGGGGGGGGGGAGATTAGGATCTCCTTTGGAACTAGCGCATTTGTACTACTCAGCCTAGGAGGCCTCAGCGAGATAGGTTTTTCCATTTTCTCCACTCCAAGAGGGCTTGTTTTGCTAGATAAAATGCAAAAGGAAACACGCGGCGAGCTTGGCCCATAATCGTCCGCGCGCCCCGACTGTGCCAAGGCATTAAAGCATCTTGCCAGCTCCTGCTCGACTTGGAAGACGGGCTGGGCTGGGCAGGGCAGGGCAGGGCCGGGCATGCACGAGCCGAGTATCCGGGCAACAGGCAAGCGCAAAAGCCATTCCCGAGGAAAAACCGGCGGGGCTACCAAATTCCCGCCGCCCTGCAGCCGAGCGCCCTCTCAGGGCTGCAAGAGAAACGCGGCCGCTTCTGTTGGCTTTGCGCCTCCTGTGGCGTTTCGGCTGGGCGATTTGGCTCCGCTTTTGCCGCCTGGATGTTTTGTGGCAAGAAGAGCTACGGGCGGCACTGTCCGCAGCCTCCCTCCTTCCGGCTTTCCTCGCGCTGCAACTTGTGGATTGCGCCAAGCTGCCCCTCGCCGGCAGCCCTACTTCCCCCCTCCCTCCAGCCCCTCCCAGTCCTGGAGGAGGGGAAGAAGAGAGGCAAGGGCGCCCGCGAGAGAGAGAGAGAGAGCCCAAGTCGCCCGAGCGGTGCGCCCCTTCCACTCCCCCTCTCGCCCTCCCACAGTTTGAAAATGCCACAGCGCCAAGCGGGCTCGGGTTGCTCCCGCTTTCTCGCCAGCGCACCTGACGCCCGACGAGCCCAGCCGCCCCCTTTCGCCTCGGCCGTGGAAAGGCCGTTGCTCTCCCGCTTGGACCCCACGGTCTCCGACGGGAAGCGGATCCTGTCGGAAGCCTGAATCTTCTCGCCCAAGCCAGCTGGCCGGAGGCAGCCCAGCCCCGCTCGGAGCCTCCCTGCCCTCCCCGGCTCTCTCTCTGGGATTGCTACGGCGGAACCGTTCAGCCTAAGAGTCCACTGCCGAGGATGCGCCTTGTGGCGTCGGCTTTTCACACCGGCTCCTCGCCTCGGCCAAGGAAACGGCACGGGGGCTTTCTGCCGCGCTGACGAGGTCGGTGTTTTTTGTGTCTGCCGATCGCCTGGAAGGGAAAGGCGGGCCATCGCGCCAGGCTTTTGGAACGAGGGGGAGGCGAGGCGAGACCCGGCGAATCGGTTGCGTATCTCGGGTGTGCGTGAAGGAGAGAAGCGTGTTTGTTTGTCCGTTTGTTTTTATCTATCCGAGGAGGTCTTCCGAAGTTTAACATCGTCGGGAAAGTCACGTCGAGCTCTCTTCTCTACTTTGCAAGACCGGGCTGTTTACCAACCTGCTGAGCCCGGGCAGCGGCGGGAAGCAGAAGAGGCGTTTCTTCCAACTCCTCGGAATCTCTTCTTGGGGTTGGGGGGGCGGTATTGGTTCCAGTCTGGTTCCTTTTCGCTTGGCCGGGAGCCCCGGGCCGTCGATGCATTCCCCGCCTCGTCGCTTCAGTTCTGTGGCCGTTTGCTTCCAGCCCGCCCAAAAGGAGAAATAATCCTTCTGCTATCTTGGTTGGCCAGACGAGGGCCGTTTCCTTCCACCTCGGGGCTTTGCTCCCGGCGCTACCGAGGCACTTGTTGCTGCAGCTCCTCGCTGGGGTTTGGGAGGCTTGAGGAGGCTTCCTTTCCTCCCTCCAAAATAAGGGCGGGTGTTCAGCCGAGCTCCGTCCCGCCAGCCCCCCTCAGGGCGCAGCTGGTGCAGGGCCTCTCTCTGCTCCTTTCCCCGCTGTTTCTGGGCCAGAAGGAATAAAGGTTATTATAGAAGCACTTCTGGCCCACCTAACCTAATCTATGATCAGCTCCGTGTGTGTCTCATCTTACCGTGGGCGCAAATCAGGGAACAAGCCATCTTCCAAAACATGCCTGAAGGAAGAGATGGGCAAAGGAGAAGAGTCAGACAAGATCACGATCAACGTGGGGGGCACCCGGCATGAGACCTACAAGAGCACTTTGCGCACCCTGCCTGGAACCCGCCTGGCTTGGCTGGCAGACCCCGATGCCCAGAGCAATTTTGACTTTGACGGGCAAAGCAATGAGTTTTTCTTTGACCGCCACCCAGGCATTTTCTCTTACGTGTTGAATTACTACCGCACGGGCAAACTACACTGCCCGGCAGACATCTGTGGGCCCCTCTTTGAAGAGGAGCTGACCTACTGGGGCATTGACGAGACTGATGTGGAGCCCTGCTGCTGGATGACTTATCGGCAGCACCGGGATGCTGAGGAAGCCCTGGATATCTTTGAGAGCCCTGAGCCTGGCAGTGGGCTGGCTGGGGAAGAGACTGAAGATGAAGGGGCCCGGGAGATGACCCTTCAACACCTGGGCATGGAGGATAGGCCTCCTGGGGCCGCAGGAGGAGGAGGAGGAAGTGGCTGTTGCCGCAACTGGCAGCCTAAGATGTGGGCACTTTTTGAGGATCCCTATTCATCAAAGGCAGCCCGGGTGAGTCATTAAGAGAGGGCAGGGAAACCGGAGACCCGGTTTCCTAGGGTGGATAGGCGGGAGGGTAGGCATGTGCCCCACTTCTAATGCTTAGAATACAGTTTGATGCCCTTCTGATATGTAGGACTACAAGTCCCATCATTCCTAGGCAACATTACCAGTGACCAGTTAGGGTGAAAGGCACTGTGTTGTAGCATATCTGATTGAGGAAGATTGAATTAGTCACTTGGGACTGGGGCCATGCAAAACAAAAAGGGGGCCCCTCCCCTCCATGGTTTTTTTTTTATGGATTTAATAGTTGCTTTACATTTCAAGCTCTCAAAAGTTTTTCAGTGGAGCTCTTCATCTGAGAGCGACCCCTGCTTGCTCTGGTGCTTCTCTTATTTTCCCCTTTATTTGCCTTTTCTGATACAGGTGACCTGTCTTGCTCTTGCTCTTTCATTGTGTATGTGTTTTTATTGTGCATGGTGAATACCTAGCTATTTTATATTCCCAAGTTATTTATCAGTACTGCACAACTCTCTGCAGAGAAGAACAGAGCTTATATTTAGGAGTCTCTTTGGAGGGTTGGAAAACTCTGCTTACCAGCATGTCCTTTTCCTCCCATTGAATCCAACATTTGACAGAATTTGGAGAAGCCTAATAAGATTTTTTTTTCTTTGTATATTCTTTTTTTTCTAGCTGCCGGATTGCCAGGCAGAATTTACTAGTGGTATAAGATCTAGTATACATCAGAACAAGGATAGTACTGATAGTCCCCTTGGTATTAATCAGACATTTCTGGTTCTCCATTGTTAAACAATAATAAGAGCAAAATGATTTTTCTGCTGAAATTAGGTGGCTAAAATACAAGTAAGCTTTGTGCAGTCATGAGTGGACCTTTGCCTAAAAGAACTGTACTCTGAGTTTAACTCGGTACAGAAGATTTCCTCTTAAACTGAGAGACATCCAACAGGGCTCCATCAAGAAAGATTTCATTCGTCCAAATCTGTTCATCTCTAGCAAACAAAGTTCTATTGTGTTTGCCCGTCTACAGAACTCCACATACACCTGCACAACAAACATCAAAGAAACTTACTAGACTTAATTTTGACCTACCTTTTTCTTTCTATTGTGCTATGTTTTCCTATAGTTTCCCCATATCTGAATGAATTCACCCTTAATATTTTCAGTAAAATGCAAACAAATCAGCAATACCTGGATGGTAGAAATTGAGGTCTAATAGAAATCCCTGTGTTAGTTTTCTAACTTTTCTTTGCTCTTCCTTATAATTTTTTTTTATAAGTTCAATTTTGCGATACAGGCAAACTCTTGATTTTACATTCAAGAAATAAATATCCATATATCTGCTTTAGAACATAGAATAACAGGATCGGAAGGGACCTTGCAGATCTTTTAGTCCCATCCCCTGCTCAATCTTTTCTTGAAAGCCTCCATTGATGAATTTCTTAGTCATATGGTATATATACATTTTGCCATATATATTCTGAGCTTTCCATCTTGTGTATAACACTTGGATAAAGAACATAGTAAGATTTAAAAGTGTAAACTTTGAACCTAGTTTTGCCTCTCAAAAAGTTCACCTCAAAATGTATATTCCATAGGGAGGGTTAACTGGGAAGTGTCAATAAAATTTATCCAAAATATTTTCTGTCACCTAAATTCAGACAATTTAGGGGTTCATATCCCCAAAAGATTCATTTTAGATGGAATTTATAACCTATTTATAATGTATAAGTCTCAAAGATCACAGATTTCTACTGTTGATCAGAAGATATAAACAGATTTGTTGAAAACCATCTTCTAGATTTTTCTGCATCACCTTTGGCTGAATCTTGCCTACATTAGAAAAAAAAAATCTGTGACTTTTTTCCATGGCTGGGAGATGAAAAGTTGATCATAGATGAGAAATGAACAATTTTGCTAATAAGGATCACCAATATCAAGCAAATGGAGAGTGAGGACAGCCTCTTTCCAGCTTGTTATGAATCCATAAAAACATGGTTATTTCATTTCAGTTTTCCCTCAGTAGCTAACTACCTTTTTAAACCTTCCATTTTCTTTTTTTTAAAAGGAAAGAATCAGTGTTATTAATTAGGAAAATATTTCAACCTGTTGGAGAAGATAAAAATAAGTGATCCAATATCAAGGTCAGATAAAGAATCTGGAAAGGGCACAGAGCCATTACGTAAGAACATCCAACATTGCCTAAATTAAGGGAGACAAAATATATATTAGCATCCGGCCAGCCTGTCCTGGTTGATTTCACTGCACTCTAAAAGAATTGACAACACTTGGCAATTGAGGTTCCATTCTTCTTCATTTCCAGGCTTCTTCCCAACTATGATAAGGATTTTAAAAAATCTAGAAAAAAATCAGCAAAGCTATCTCAACATTTATCAAGTACCTATTCTAATATCAGCACTGGATTCAAAAAGAATGTTTAAACAGTGAGTAAAACATGAATAGGATATCTTGCAAAGTCCTTTTATAATTAACTAGTGCAGAAAAACCCTTTTTCCTAAGAAGTTCTATTGGAAAGGCATATGAACACCTTATTGTGACAGCCATGAGGCTGTCAGAATATATCTATTTGTTCATAAACTCACTATGGCCGTCTGCCTTCCATCCATCCCTCATTATGCAACAGCCATTTTGTTGACTCCCACTCTCTTCATCTTCCTGTAGGGCATTATTTTTCAAATTTGGCAACATTAAGACACTGGACTTCCAACTCCTAGAATTCCCCAATTATAGTTGATCTTAATGTTGCCAACTTTGAAAAGTATTGCAGTAGAACCACCAAGGGCATAATATAACCTGCCAGACAGAATCTCAAGAAGTTTCCTTCATAAACCTGATTGTGGGGTAGTTTCCCCAAACTGACAATGGAGAGAAAAACACTCCTAGCAAGGAAAACAAACCCGTTCATGAGGGGAAAAAGCATCAGTGAAGGAAACAGCTGTCCTTCATCACAAGGCGCCCCATAGGGAGTTGATGGGAGCCTAGTAGAGGAAAATGACCAAGGACAGGAACTTAAGCCATATCTTTGACTTCCAGCACAAGCATCCAGGATAGGCAGACCACAGAAAAGAGAGCAGCAAACATCATTAGACTCTGCCATCATGTGTATCAACATGCAAGTAGAGCTCTTGTTATTAGGAACCTCACTATTTGTGTAGATATAGGAGTGAGTGTGTGAAAGCTTTCAGAGTTTCAGCATGAGAGGCACCTGTGGCCGTCTTTCCCCCCCACTGGTATCCTTGATGGCTGGCATGCCAGAACTCCAAGGGTAAGTTCTATAATGGAGAATCATGGCAACAGACTGGTACACCTCTGTTTCGCACATGATTTGCTTCATTGTACTTTGTTGAATGGACCATAGCTGACTGGGTTCACAGTTCATAATAAATCTTGAATTATAGTTCAAAAATTGCATGGGTGAATTCACACAACATCAAAACCAAACATGTTATGGCTTAGCATGTTGGATAAACCTGGTTATTCAACATATGGATTGAGGAAATGGGAGAATAAGCATACTGTAGTCTTATATTTCAGTAAAAACTGATTATCTATGAAATGATTTGAGAGCAAATTATCAATGGTAAGGAAAGTGCCTGGGCTCAATTCTGCCTTGGGACATGACTTCTAATTTGCACAGTTTGCTCCTAATCCTAGATTATGTGAGTTCCAGCAGGTAGGAATGTTTCTTGTATTCTAGCACAGTTTTGATACCTTTTAAGAGTAAAGCTTGACTTGAAGAAGACTTTATTTATTTATTTATTTGTTATTAGGCTTTTAATCACTCTTTAATTTTAGTCTTGATTTTAAAACTTTTTAATATTTTGTAGTCTACTTTTTCTTAGCTACTGAAGTAGAAAGAAAACATATACTGTAGCTGGATTAAATAGAAACAGTTAAGACTCATATACAGAATACCACACATTTTAAATGTATACACAAATGTACAGTTATATTTCTTCAAGAAAGTTAACATTCCACAATTCAAGTGATTACAGTGTTTGATTACACTAATCATCTCCTTCTAACTAAGCTCATAATGGAGAGGGGGGAGCTATTACATCAATTCTGTCCAACTTTTCTCTAGTTCAAAAGCATCTCTGTAACATAATTCATTTTTTTTACAAGGCTGATTTGCTGGATGTCCAGCACACCATGGGCAGTAGTAGTTTTACTGTTTATTTGTAAGGTAGAAAGCCTGCATGCATTGACTTGGATAATTTATGCCATGGCATATGTTATAATAGTAAGCAAGTAGTCTCATTTGCCTTGTGCAAGCAGTTTGGGTGTCCATGAAACCACTGAGAGCCATGATGTAGGATGAAGCTTCTCCATTATTGCTTCCAGGCTTTGGAACTACCCACCACATAAGCCACTTAGACTAGCCCTTTGGCACACAAAGTTTTTAATAGATGGTTCAAAAGATCAGATAGCTTTGGATCAATTATATCTTCCTTTGTGCAGGGTGTACCGTTTGCCACTTCTGAATTACTCGCCAAAGTTTTTGATAAAGCAGTTTCTATACGAATGATGGGTCCTTTGTAGTTTTTGTTGAAAGAAATGGCAAATGGAAGAGCTTTGCTACATATTGGAGGAGGAGGGATAGTCCAGGGTGGTCTTCTTCAGCTGCCACTACAGATGGTCTTTGTTGAAGGCACCCAGCTAGAATCATGATGGCAAGGATTGCAATTTCGATGGGAGAAGGCAGAAGGGGGTTCTAAAACAAAATGAGATGGAATCAACTTTGTTTCACATGATGTCATGCTTAGAAGTGAGGGGACCATTTACAACACCTCTTTGAAACCTTCAGCAAAGCACTCCTTTGAAACTTTGTTCAACCTTTAAATTAAATTAAATTGATAACATTCCAAATTGAGCACTGTAATACTATACTCTTCTGGAGCTAAATAGGAAGGCTATCCACAAGCCCCCATTGCTTCCGAAGGAGACAACTAAATTTATTGAGTTTATAGAATCAATTTACACCAGAATTCTTCAGCTAACAAGGAGTGTCCATTGTACCTTCCTCTGACTGTATGCTATGTCTCCTCTTCTTATAAACAAAGATGCTTTAAAAAAAAATCACAGTTCTATCCAGTGTTTGTTTACAGTGCTCTCTCTGGCTCTGGCTTGTTTATTTGGCTTTTGATAGCTTGTTTCGACAGTAGAAAATCAAAGTCCCTGGATCAGGAAGCATACTAAATTGCAGATACATGGAATTGTCCAAGGTGTGTTAATTATACTGGTTTCAGGAGGAACAAGTGGATATTGCTCATTTTGAAAAATTCTGGTTTAGTATGTCATATAAATATAATGGGTAGCATGTTTCCAGATTCAAGAATTGAGCTTTGATTTATAAATGCTATTTATTTCAAGATTAGGGAATGAAAGAAAATTGGACCTGTAATATGCCTTCATCTCATACCAATCTCATACCATATCTTCCTATTGAAAGGGGAAGAATCCCTTGGAAATGATCACAGAGAGGTCACAATATTAAGGAAGGCAATTTTTTGCCACTATTTCTGATACATATTATACTAGTATTAAAAACATATGTTTTGCCAACATTCTGTTTATTTTTGGGCTGCTGATTTTAAATTAATTTTAAAGTAAAAAACAATTTTATGGAAGTGTACACCTTAGCAGAATTATTTTGACCTGTCCTTTTATATAAGTGTATTTACTAAAGGAGAGAGAGGGGGGGAAATTCCAGTTTAGTATGTCATATAAATATAATGGATAGCATGTTTCCAGATTTAAGAACTGAGCTTAAGAATGCTCAAGTAAGAATTGGGTTGTTGTTTTATGGTTATTTTTTTAATAGGCTCTTTTGTGGGACTTGGAGGAAAAGATAGCATGGAGATAAATAAAGTTACTGGCATTCCTTTCTTCATTTGTACCTTCAGACTACCATTTCCATCCAGAAAACAGAGTTATATTAGTGTCCTTTTGAGTTGATTTTCACAATATGCCACTGTAATGGTTATAGGTTAACCCAGGGGTCTTCAAACTTGGCTCTTTTATGACTTGTGGACTTCAACTCCCAGAATTCCTCAGCCAGGCACACGTGCCTGGCTGAGGAATTCTGGGAGTTGAAGTCCACAAGTCATAAAAGAGCCAAGTTTGAAGACCCCTGGGTTAACCAATGCCATAGAGGAGAATTGAAAACCTCTTGGCTTTTGGAACATGCTGGTTACTAATTCAGTAAGAGTGCTTGATAGGGTTGATGAAAATGGTGCATATTTGTTTGCATGTTTTTGTACTAGTTTTACATTTGTCCCAGTTACACAGCTTTTGAAATATCCTGCATTTTGAGGAGCTGCAGCCAAGAATTTCTCTTTAGAAAACAGGCTGGAAATGCTATTAAGGGGGTATCACTGAGTAGGTTCAATGTCATTTAAGCAAGGTAAATCGAAACAGCTGATTTTTTAAGTGTGTTTAAGTCTTATTTTCTTAAAGTCTCAGTACAATTGATTGTATTGCTAGATCCTGTATTTAATGGTGTTTTAAAATCAGATTAGATATAGAGTTTGCATTTGTTGTTCTGTTACACAATCACTGATTGCTTAATTGGAAATGAGACTTAGTTACCATAAGCCACAGGTTATGATACCGGCATATGAGAAACCATTGTGGGGAGAAGATAGAAAACAGTGACTGTATAATAATAAAAATTGGCAATTATTTCCATAACATGGAATAAAACAGTTCTGTTCAGTAATAACCAGTGTTTCCCTTTAGAAATTCCTCATTTTCTAAACTTGTTTGATATGTGATGTGAGTGATTGTTGATCAGAGGAGGCAAACCTGCAGCTCCCTTGGGTATTTAACTAGTTTTACTATATATCGAAATATGCTTGCACATATACAGAAAAAGCAAAATGGAAATACATTAAGTGATAAATAATCACATTTTATAAGTGATATATCAGTTCCATCCAAAAAGCATGTTGTAGGTTTGATTATAAAAGACTCTTAGATTATTTTTCTAAGTAACATGAAAATTCCAATTAGTAGTAAAACTATTGTATAGGGTAGCAAATAGTTTCCTGGATTAACAAATAAGTAACATGATTTTAAATAATAGTCTCCTTATTCTTTTGAATCATCAGAGCTTTGCTGCCACTGCTCATGAAATAAAGCAGAGAAGTAGCTATCTTGCATATTCATATAAGTGTTAATTCCTCCCTTTGTTGGCAAACTAATCTGCAAAGGAAAATGAACATAAATGAGGCTGGAGCAGAAGCAAATGTAATCAGTCGCAGCTGGGCAATTGAATTCTCTGTTTATTGTTACTATCAGGGGAAGGTGTTAGATTAACCTTTGGGATGGAAGGTAAAACCAAATTTGCCAATAAATTTTACTGTTGTCTGCGAGATGACAAATTTCATGCTGCAAAAGAATTGAACTGAATTAAGAGAAGCTGAATCTCATTTGCTCAGTCTGTGTCTTAACACCTGGGTACAAATATATTTATTATTATTCCTATTACTATTGTACAGTTTAGTGAGGCTAACTTAAAAGTAAAATCTATAGAATTGGAACACGAATCACTTGTTTCTACCTTATGATTTATGATTGTAACTATAATTTATGATCTATGACATCACTTTGTTGTTTGTAATGTACACTGAGAGCTTATGCACCGGAGACAAATTCCTTGTGTGTCTGATCACACTTGGCCAATAAAGAATATTCTATGAATAGTTCTAATAGATGGGAAGATTGAAAACTGGGAAGATTGAAAACTGATGGTTTACAATGTAGGAAAGAGAAGAAGAGGGCTCTATAAACTGTATAAGCATGAGATTAGGTCTCATCCTAGATTCAAATGAAGCATGCTTCTTTATTCCAAGCTTTCTTTGTAATGGTTAAAATGAAAAAGGTAGAGAATAAAAGTTTTAAAACTTGTAATCGTGTTTCTTAGATTGCTTTTCTTCACCCATAGTTCTTTTAACCACTGAGCATATTTTTCCCTTCTTTTCCAGATCATTGCCTTTGCTTCACTTTTTTTTATTCTAGTATCCATCACAACTTTTTGTCTGGAGACACATGAAGCCTTCATCATAGATACCAATGTGACTGAGACCCTAGTAGTGGGCAACACAACTGAGATTGTTGTAATGAAAAAGATGGAGACAGAGCCTATTCTCACCTGTATTGAAGGAGTTTGTGTGCTGTGGTTCACTCTAGAGTTTCTGGTGCGCATTGTTTGCTGCCCGGATAAATTGATCTTCATTAAGAACCTTCTTAACATCATTGACTTTGTAGCCATCCTACCCTTCTATTTAGAGGTGGGACTCAGTGGCCTATCATCCAAAGCTGCACGGGATGTGCTGGGCTTCCTGAGGGTAGTTCGTTTTGTCAGAATCCTCCGAATTTTCAAGCTGACCCGCCATTTTGTGGGACTTCGGGTGTTGGGCCATACCCTCCGGGCCAGTACCAATGAATTCCTCCTTCTCATCATCTTCCTGGCTCTAGGAGTTTTGATTTTTGCTACCATGATCTATTATGCCGAAAGGATTGGTGCCAAGCCATCTGATCCTAGTGGTAGTGACCATACCCACTTTAAGAATATCCCCATAGGATTTTGGTGGGCAGTGGTAACTATGACAACTTTGGGTTATGGAGACATGTATCCCAAAACTTGGTCAGGCATGTTGGTGGGAGCTCTTTGTGCCCTGGCTGGTGTTCTTACCATTGCTATGCCTGTTCCAGTCATTGTCAACAACTTCGGAATGTATTATTCATTGGCCATGGCAAAGCAAAAGCTCCCAAAGAAGAAGAAGAAGCACATACCCCGTCCAGCACCACTTGAGTCTCCAACGTTCTGCAAATCAGAGGACAACTCACCTCACAACAGTATTCAGAGTTACAACAGTCCTATAGCGGCAGCAACAGCAGCTGGTGTGATGGAGAGGAAAAGATCAGGTGAGATGTAAGATTTCAGGCTAACCAAAACCCATAAATAGAGAGAAGTGGTAAGAAGATTCTGGACATAAATTTGTGGATGTGTAAAGCAGTGGCTCTAAAAGAAGTATATGTTATGTAAGATTATATATACATATGGTGTAGGGCAGAGATCCCCAACCTTTTGGGCACCAGGGACCTGTTCTGTGGAGAGAGGTTTTTCTGCAGACTGGAGAGTGCGTGGTTTTGTGTGCTGCCTGCATCTCATGGATAGGGCTTTGCTTGTTTGTGTGGACCAGTTGCTGGCATGCCACAGCCCAGTACTGGTCCACGGACCAGGGGTTGGGGACCTCTGGTGTAGGGTATCATTTGGATAAAGGTATGTTGTTTGGGGAGAGCACAGAGAATTTTTCCTCTAATTATTGATCTTAACTATACTTACAATAGTGACCACAGGGAGAGAATTAGAGAAATGGGATCACTAGGCCAGACTGAGTTTTGTCCATTTTAGAAGATAAATAAATACAAGTCTGTCTAAAAAGGATAATTTCCCACCCTACTTTGAACAACAGTTTACATCCAGCTATCATACTTCACACAGTGGCATACATAAGATTTCCAGAGTCCAAAATTGCTTGGTGCCTACTTCCTTTAATATGTAAAGTCATGCTCGTTGCAATCTAATGTTGCATTTAAGTGGTCTATCATGCCTGCTCTGTTTGAATGATCTCCATTCTTCTTAAGCATTGATTAACCATCTGACCTTTTCTACAGCAATAAGTCTCTGAGGATTGTCTTTGGAGTCCTAAGCCAGTCATGCAAGTCATAATGGTCTGTTCTCTGGAGTGTGCAGTTAAGAGCCTTCCAGTAAATGACTTCAGAATGGACTGCATGGGGTGTGGTTGGTACATACATAGTTGTACATCTCAAACTCAGATGTGCAGAGGAATGAGAGCAACTCAATGCATTTTGGTACGTGAAACGGAAGCGGAGATGGCTCCTCCTTTTCACATATCTTATCCAAAAGCTGCTCTTTTGACACTTAATACAGAAAATCCCATGCTTCTTTTTCTCTAATTAAAACTACTTATTAATAAAGTAAGACTGAGTTCATATGTTTCACTAGCTGTATGTTCACTTGATGTACTTACTTACTCATCCCAATACACTAAACCGTGAAGTAATCATGTGTACTGAGTTTGTGGAACATTTGAATACTGGGCTCTTTTCTGGTTCAGTGTATCGTGCAAACACCATTTAGTCATATGGCCATGGGCATTCTTTTGATTTTGTCTTAGTACAGTGGTTCTCAACCTTTGGGTCGGGACCCCATTTGGGGTCGATCGACCATTTCATGGGGGTCGCCAAGCAAGGCTGTCCGCCATTTTTTTTGTCTGCCATTTTTTTTGTCCGCCATTTTTCCCCCTTTTCCAGCGGGTGCCTTACCTCCCTTGGGCTGGGCCAGCTGGTGGTTGGCCTGCTCCGTCTCTGCCGCTTGCCAGCTACGCCTTGGCCAGCGCAGGGGGCGGAACCACACATGCGCGGCGCTCCCGGGCAGGGAAAGTCCTCAACTTACGACCGGTTGGGTAGTCCTCAACTTACGACTGGTTTAGTCCTCGACTTATGACCAGTTTAGTCCTCGACTTACGACCGGTTTAGTCCTCGACTTATGACCGGTTGGGGTTGCGGCATTAAAAAGGTTGAGAACCACTGTCTTAGTATATTGTCTCAATCCAGTTATTATGACCCCTGAACACCATGGCTTGTTCTACTATATTTTAGTGAGATGGTAGATATAGGCTATGATATATATACTGAGAATAATAGGGTCTTATTTTAGAGAACTCAATGTTAGAAATTGTACTTTAGCTGGTGGAAGAAAAAGAAAAGTCAGTGGAGGAAAGTTTTTGTAATCTTTAGGACCTGTAAGCCTTTTTTGCTACTATCAACCTATTAAAGACAGCTTGCATCTTAGGACAGAAGGACTAGAAAGTAAGACAAAACTTTTTTAATACTAGTTTATACTGGTTTGATCTGATGTGTTGTGGGAAACAGCAAGGAGCAGAGATTGAAAAAGACAAATCTTCTTCAGCATGCTAGAGTCTGGACCAAGAAGCAACAGCATTTCTGCTTGAGGGATTCCCAGTGGCTGAGGGTACCTCTCCATCATCACCAGTTGTATATATGTGTTGATGGCATGTAGCAGCAGCTTAGCAGAATTGTGAAGAAAATGACTGATTCTCTGGCCCGGGAGATGGGAGATGGGATGATTGCCTGCGGCCCTTCAGGCCATCAGTTGGACAGCAGCAAGGACAGCAGAGTATGAAGGGTGTGCTGAAGCCTTGGTCTTCACCTGCAAAGGTTGCTTCCTTAAATACAGGGGTCTTCAAACTTGGCCCTTTTATGACTTGTGGACTTCAACTCCCAGAATTCCTCAGCCAGGCACGTGTGCCTGGCTGAGGAATTCTGGGAGTTGAAGTCCACAAGTCATAAAAAGGCCAAGTTTGAAGACCCCTGCTTAAATACCTCATTATATGGCCAGGCTGGAATAGACTTGGCTTGAATGGTATGTCTCTATATTTCAATAACAAACAAAATTAAACCTTAAAAAGAAAATCTCAGCTCTGAGGAGCACTTTGTTTTCCCCTAGTGCAACACATGTAACAGAAAGCAAATCTTTTCATTATTTTAACTTTTCAGTTTCTTCCAGTTTGTAACTGAAAGCCAATGAAATAATTTCAGCAATTGGATTAACAGACTGTGCAACGTTGCTGGGTAAACATGTTGACTAAGCCATCGGCCTGATTCAAAAGTCACTTTTAATCATTGTTTACTGAATAAGCCCCAGTTAGCTAGATTCATACTACACTAAGCTACACACAATAATTTATCACTCACAAGGACTGGTTTCACACAGAATGTAAGTGAAAACCAAATAAGTCATATTTGGGCTTAATTCAAATTGTGTACCCAATCTATAACACCTTTTCCCCCACCTATTGTCTTCCCAGTGTGTTAGAACAAAGCCCTCGTTGTTTCCCGCCTGGACTATTGCAACACTGTCTACATGGGGCTTCCCTTGAGGTGCACCTGGAGGCTCCAGCTAGTTCAGAATGCGGCTGCGCGTGGGATTCTGGGGGCCTCTAGATACTCCCATGTAACACCTCTCCTGCGCGAGCTGCACTGGCTGCCTGTGGCCTTCCGGGTGCGCTTCAAGGTGTTAGTAACAACCTTTAAAGCGCTCCATGGCAACGGACCTAGGTATTTGCAAGACCGCCTTCTACCAAACACCTTCCTCTGACCAGTCCGCTCCCACAGAGAGGGCCTCCTTAGGGTGCCGTTGGCCAGTCAATGCGGGCTGGTGACCCCCAGGGGGAGAGCCTTCTCTGTGGCAGCTCCTGCCCTCTGGAATGACCTACCCCCCGACCTACGTACAGTTGTGGACCTGCGCCTTTTTCGCCGAGCCCTGAAAACCCATCTATTCCGGGCGGGCAGCCTGGCGTAGCTTTAATTATGTTTTAGTAAAGGTTTTATATAAGGTATTTTAGAGCAGGCCTTTTATTTAATTTGATTTTAGAATAGAAATTTGAGTATATTTATTGTGATTTTTATCATCGCCTGTCTACCGCCCTGAGTCCCGTGAGGGAGATAGAGCGGTATACAAATTCAAATAAATAAATAAATAAATAAAATAAATCTCTTGTCACTTGACAGAAGTTTGATGATTATCCAAATCCTGTGAAATCTTTCCTCATCTTATGGCTTTGCAGTTGTGTTGGGATTACAGCAGTCTGGGATTTCAATACATTTAATATATTAGGCTGAGGAAGGCTGCTCTGTTACTCATAACTTAAGGGACCCAGATATGGTACAACTTTCATCAGTTGCAAAGACTGAGCTTCTGGATGAATCTCCCAGCAAGAAGACTGAGACACGAGGTATGAGCAGGTCATTTGTATCATTTTTTTCAGTCTCAGATAAGGAATATTCATGAGAAGTAAAGATTTAGCCTGGAACAACTTTATCAGTACTTGAGTGTTACATTTACTATATTATGAGTGATATCTGACTATACGTTCATGAACAGAATGCTGTTTCTAGAAAACTTCAGTTTCTGTGGAAACCACCCTGCAGTCACCGTAGCATTAATACACAGTGCATGTTTATAGACATTTTCTGTAAGCTGTGTCTCTTGAAACATAGGGGTATATATAGGACTGATGTTTTGATACTTTCTCCCCTCAATATTAGTGGATTCACCATCATATATTGGTGAAAGGACTTAATGCCAAACTCCAGTCAAGAAGGTGAGAAATTGATTCCAATATACTTTGGAAATGACACTAAAAATGAAAATGCTGCCTCTCCTGGATTATGCCATATAATCTTTTATATACAGTATATATAAATTATTCATTTTCCTGTTGCCAAAGCAGGTGCAGATTTGGCTAATTCTGGCTTCAAAAGTTGATCTTTCTTTTCTTTCTTTCTTTCTTTCTTTCTTTCTTTCTTTCTTTCTTTCTTTCTTTCTTTCTTTCTTTCTTTCTTTCTTCCTTCCTTCCTTCCTTCCTTCCTTCCTTCCTTTCTTTCTTTCTTTCTTTCTTTCTTTCTTTCTTTCTTTCTTTCTCCTTCTAAGACACCAAGCAGAATGGAGATGCCAATGTGGTTCTGTCAGATGAAGATCAACCTCTTTCGTCACCGCAAGAGGAGAAGCAGCTCATGAGAGGCTCAAGTACCAGGGACAAAAACAAGAAAGCAGCAACCTGCTTTCTCCTGAGCACTGGGGATTTCTCTTGTGCTGCTGATGGTAGCATCCGGAAAGGTATGAAGGAGATTGCAAGATGTGTGTTGGTGAATGGAGGGAAAGTTGTGAAATATTAAATAATATACATGGGGCCTGTTTTGCAGTTGGCTGTAACTGACAAACAATGGCAATGCTACTTTTGAAAAGCAGTTGACCTCTCTGCATTTTCTCGGTTTGTGATAAGAGTTGATCGGTAGAGACCCAAGCTATATTTCTATAACCTTTCCTAAGCAATAGTAAACCTAAAAGCTATAGCTTTTCCCTCCCATTTTGTTTTTGCCTTGGTTCTGTCGGTTGACTTCTTTTTGCACTGGCTCTGGCAAGCAAGAAGGTAAGGATTAAGGGAAAAAAGGATGGGAGAAGCAGCAGTTGCCTTCTCCCCTGCTGCATTGTAAAGTTTAAATTATTATAATATAGAGTAAGGACCTTGGTTTGTGATGCCCACATGCCCCCCCAATACACATGATGGCTGGGCTCAAGGGAACGATACTTTCCTCTAATCTATATCTTATTCAAAAGAAGAAGAACCAGTCCACCAGGCATTCCTAAACCACTTACACATACAATCTTTTGTTTCATCTTCAGCTGTTGGGTTAGCAAAATCCTATCTAGCTTGCCTTTCAGAAGTTCAGATAACCCTCATGATTCCCAACTTCATGCTGATTGAGAATTCTGGAAGTTGTATGCTATCCTTCACCTCATAAAGTACCTGGTTGCAGAAGGCTGACTTTAAGCCTTTACGACTTCTAATAGAATTGAATAATTTTTGTCTACTTCTTTCTTTAGTCTTCATGAAACCTTGGGAGATAACATCTTTGATTATGAGATACCAAATGCATTTTTTCTTCAGATATCTGTTTTTCCATTTCCATTTGTTATTCTTTAATGTCATTTTGCATTGTACTTTGGTGTGTTTTAGATTAAGCACCTATCTGGCACTGTGGTGAAACCCAGCAGAGTAGAGGAGGAGAAATACCAGGGTTGGAAGATGGGATAATAGAGTAAAAACATTGCATTGTATGTTCACAAGCATGGGAGTAAATTAATAATTGCTTAACAAAGCATTTTCTGATTTAAAAATAAATCTGAAATTGCATTCTTAAACAAAGCAGCACACAGAATGAAACATAGAGGGCAAAAGTAATTAGCAATGCATTTGGTACAAAGTCACGTCAGGAGTTTAGAGTAGAGAGATGTTTGTCTTAGTGGCATCATGTCACTTTTCTTTTACCATTTTTTTTATTTCTGTTCTTAACATCTAATCTTACAAACAAGCTTAAATGTTTTTTTCTTAAAATGTAGTGTAGTTTTATGGAATCAGATATGAACAGCCTAGCACCGTGGTGGCAAACCTATGGCACGCATGCCACAGGTGGCACGCAGAGTCGTCTCTGTGGGCACGCGTGCCGTCGCCCCAGTGCTAGGCCTTCAGCTGGGTTTTATAAAACCTTTTCGCTTTAGGCCTCTGCAGCCGTGTGGAAAAAAAAAAGGTTCAATCAATTAATTTCAACTTCTCGGGGGAAAAAAAGATCTTGCAAAGTTGGAATTGATTGGTTGAACTTTTCAGTCCCACCCTGTCTGCCGTTACCACTGCAGCCCCGCCCACCCAATGGCCACACCCACCCAATGGGCCACGCCCACCCGGCACCCAACAATACATAAGTGGGTTTTGGGTTGCAGTTTGGGCACTCGGTCTCTAAAAGGTTCGCCATCACTGGCCTAGCATCATAGGATATATGTATTTCTATAAAATCCAGCTTAATTTTGGCATCTCCAGATGGGTCTGAGATAGATTTTCTGTCCCAAAACTTAGAAAGTCTCTGCTGGTCATTGTAGATATTATTGGGCTAAATGAATTGATTGGTTAAGAAATGGCTTCCTGAGTTCCAGATAAATAATGCAGAGCCTGTTTTAATATCTGCAACATCTAGATATGAAGCTCACTCTATGCTGGACCTTTCTGATTCACGCAGCAAACAGGGACATGAATGGTCTGTGCAGTCTTCAGAGATGGCCACTCACAGTGAAGATTTGTGCATGTCCTGAAAGAAACAATTTGTAAAGAAACTTTGTAGAATATATTAATATTCAGGTGTGGGTGGGTGAGGGAAGTTGCAATCAAGTCAGAGTGGAACACAACAGAAAACATTTCAGATTTCATCCTTCAAGTAGCCCTCAGCTTTAAAATGTTGGAAATAGTCAGGTCAAACCTCTACTAAGAATTAGCTGCTTGGAAGAGGAATAGATGGACTGCTTAATTCTGTTTATTTCAATGTTATCCCTTCCCCAAATTATCCCTAAATAAATTAGTTTTTTAGGAGATAAAGGTTTGCCCATCCATACTTTCATAGGATTGGGTAGTTTGGGACCAACAAATGAAAGAGTAAGACATATTTAGGGGAGATTATTTTAAATAGCAATAGCTTTTAGACCTCTCTAAGCGGTTTACAGAGTCAGCATATCGCCCCTCACCCCAACAATCAGGCTTCTCATTTTACCGACCTCGGAAGGATGGAAGGCTGAGTCAACCTTGAGCTGGTCAGAATCAAAGGAATCAAACTCCTGGCAATGAGAGCACAGTTAGCCTGTAGTACTGCATTCTAACCACTGCATCACCACGGCTCTTTATGGCAGTGGAATTTGAGGGGTAAGGATGGCAGATGGGGGTGGGAGGTTTTACATGTATAGCCTTTTAAAAACTTACACTTTGGAAAGATTATTTTATGGATTTTGGCAATTTACATAATTATCATTTCTAAAGAGCAGGTGAACAAACTGAGAATCATATGTAGTCAAATATACAATGAATGTGCCTGTTTGCATAATCTAATGCACAATACGAATTGCTCAAATTCATGCCTATGAATATAGAAGGATCTAATGTAAGTAAATATCAGATAAAGGCATATGCGTGGTCCTGGCTTCATTTCACAGGCTTCCTATTTTCATAGTTTTACATCGTTACATGGAATCATGAATTTTATCAGGTTGATGATGATGATGATAACCTTTATTGTCATTTTTTACTGTGGGCACAATGACACACATTAAAAATGAAATTTAGTTTCTTGCTCTCAAACTGTTGATAGCTTCCCACTCTTGTAGGTTTGAGCAATCATAAACTAAAGGTAAACATGTAAGCAGACACATATAGTTACTGAAATGAGTAATTCACCATAAGGCTATATAGTTCATTCCATGTGCATGGGGTCCTATATTACCACTTGTAACTGTGCCTATATGCAGTATGGGTAGCTGCACGTGGAGAATGCTGAACTTCTAAAACTGTTGGATATGAGAGAATAATATCCCCTATCTTTCTGTGATGCATCCAAACAGAGGATTCCCAGGAATACTAATGAAAGGACACATATTTATATCTTTCTATTTAACAGACTTCTTTTAATGGTTAAAAACATAGCAAAAATAGGAGGGAAACACAAGAAGTCACTCGGCCTATGTTTGAGGCAGTACACTTATACAATAAAGGATACGTCTAAAAGCACTAATGGTGGCACAGATCTCTTTATGCATCTAGTCAGTTACTTGGCAACAAACAAATGCATTTTTATGCATATAGAATGACTTCTAACTAGCATCTGTACATATTGCTGGGAAAGTTGCTTATCTAACTTGTGCTCTTAAAAATCAGCACAAAAATTATTAAAATGCGCTCTTCGTGACCATTTACCATTTCCCCAACAGGTATGTCAGTGTAGCTTGCTACCAGACCCCATTGTTTGTCCTCATCCTTTTTGAAATAAATCATACTTTGGAGGTGGTAGGCAACTTGTGGCACTCCGGATTTTGCTGTATTACACAACTCCTAGAATTATTGGTCACAGTACCTAGAAGTGCTGAGAGTTACTGTACATTTCCACAGCATCTGGAATGTGCTGATTCCCAGGGTTTGTACATATGTAAATATACAGTTGATTTGATATAAAGATCGTGTTTTTTTCTATGATTCCATGAAAACAGGACAGCTGCTGTTTCAAAGCCTTTATTCCATCCGTTTCCTTTTTGCATTAGTAGGTTGCCTTATAAAACCTAAAGCCACAATACAAATATAAAATTCAATTGGATGTCCATGAAACCAGAGCACAAAATGTTTTATTTTGTTCCTCTACTGCTCTTCTTGCCCACCTTACTGTGCTGTGTACTGTTAGTTTGACCCAGGACAGACCCGGGAGAAGACAAAGCAAATTGTCTTTTCTCTTCTCTTCAAACTCGGTGAAGTCTGCCAACACTATTCACTCTTTTCCTATTCTCTCTCAATCTTCTTCCTCTCTCTGGTCTTTCAGAAGGAAGGAGGGGGATGACACTATGGGTCTTGATATGACTCATCTGGCTTTAGGATGCAATTGTTAAAGGGCTTCTCACTGAGAAACTGAACGCCAGTGTTTTAAAGAAGAGCATAAGCTGTGTCTGGGTTGTTATTAAAGTCAAGAAGCATAGATGGCATTTTCACCTTAAAGTTATCGTTGGGCAGAGACTTTCAATCCTAGAAAAAAAAGGCTGAAAATAATAAAGGCTACTAGGAGATTTGAGTAGAGCACGGGTAGTCAACCTTGGCTCAGCTGGCTCAGGAATTCTGGGAGTTGAAGTCCACGAGTCATAAAAGAGCCAAGGTTGACTACCCCTGGAGTAGAGGATCTCTCAAATTCTGCTCTCTGCCTGCTGTATTCTGTTTTGAAGGTGACCTATGTACCCCCGATTCTAATGGAAGGAGACAAAGATGCAAGATTTTAGCCACGTGTATAAACCATATGCTTTGATAGCTGTGAATGAATTCCTCTGCCTTGTATGTACTGTGAGTAATATGCTGTTTAAATCCAGCAGGTTTGTGAGGCATTTGTTCCATAACGGTGTGTTTTGGCATTGTGTGATTTGACTAATTAAGTGTATTCATTTGCTCATTAAGCTCTCAATTCTCGGTAGGTAATGAGTCATGCAAGAAATATGCTGAATGCTGTATATACTTTATTCAGCTGAGGGAAACAATACAGTTTCAGATA